CGAAGCATAGAAACGACTATGAAAATGGGGCAGAATATCATGTATCACTCACTCAGATGTAAACAAATAGATATGTCGACGGCAGACCAATTGATAGCGACCTTCCGAAATTATACAGGAACACCTCTATCTCATTTCCGAAGTAATGCTACGGCCTTGAAATTTAACTAGAACTTTCTTCGAAGGAGTTTTGACTTTAATTAAAATACTCGTCGCAGTCTGCACATGTGTAACCGAGTCAAAGCTCTTTGAAATACTAAAGGTGTAACTATTAGTGAATTCGCTAAATGCAATCTCTTTTCCACGATCATCTTTCGCCATCATTTGCACTATTGTGAAATATTTCTCGCCGTTCCCAGATATATTTTGTTTTTAACAAAGCGTCTGGGCCACAATCGTTCTTAAATATAATTTCAAGCCTTTATTCTTCTTACTGCGAGCCAAAGACGCTTAATACAATCGCTTTTCCGCGATCAGCTTTCGCCGTCATTTGCATTGTTGTGGAATATTCCTTGCCGTTCCCGGGTATATTTGGTTTTTAACAAAGCGTCCAGACCACAATCGTTCTGAACTACAATTTCAAGCCCTCACTTTTCTCACTGCGAGCCATCAGTATTTACATCGTTATAGTATCGCTAAAATGAGTAACCGGCGAATTTCTTATAGGGGAAAGCAGGCGTTGTTCTCGTGACAGGCCAATTGTCTCTCATCTGTTTGGTATACACCCCTGAACGTTAAAATTGTATCAAGTCGAAGGAACAGTTTTGGTCGAAGTCCACATTTTTGTAAGCAAAATGAAAATATACACATAACGGTATAAAAGCTGTCTTTTTTTTTTTTTTTTTCAATACTGACATCTCGCGCGCGAAATGAGAAGACTATACGAAGGTATGGAATTCTATTTGACAACAACTCTGTCCACTTTTTTAAAAACCGAATCAGTGGCCGCTATGTTAAAAACAAAATATGCGAGGAAACGGGCTGGGAATATTTCGAAATAGTGCAAATGATCATGAAAGTGATTGCTAAAAGACAATTGCGTGACACTCTGTAAGTTGTAAGATGACGTATGTTATCATGTATGCCAGATAATTTGGGGCAGATTTCTTTACAACATTTATGTCCACCTAATTTCAGCTTAGTCTACGAAGAAACCTCTGACATGTCTTATGTCGGTGAAAGACCAGTCATAAAATGTAGCCTCAATTTGAAGACACTGGTTTCAAGGACATTAATAGGAGACTGAGCAAGAAATGGAATCAGGATTTAGGGATATACTCCAATACTTTAAAAAAATCAAGGAGACGAGTGCTTTTTATACATATTAGCTGTTACCTTGTTATTTCTTTCTGCAAGAGTAGTAGCATTCTTACAGTGGCGTTCATATTTATATTTAGGTAGACTCGAACAGGTACAGATGATTATAATTCATGATTTATGATCTTAAGGAGGGCTGGTATTTCTTTTTTGTTTGCTGTTTGTATGAAAAATTAGTGTAGTCAGTATTTGTTTGGCTTGAAGAAAAACAAACTTCGTGTGTATGTGTGTGATGGAGTGACATCAGTGACCGGTGACCATCTCACAAACAAACTTCAAATGATGCAAGATCGTCCTACACTATCGAATTTTAGTTAAACACTTCCCTCGTAAAGAACTCGACTAATATCCAGTCATATAGACCTCAGGCTTGGTCGATAACGCATATATATTTCTGATTCACAGCAAAACTAATCTTGTACTTAATCGTGTACTTCATTCTTTATATTTAAGGTGGTTTCGGGAAAACTTCAACATCAACAAACTGAGGGTTATGAACAAGATTTTCGAAATTCTGAGGAAGGAAAACGTCATTCATTATGAGCGTCAAACATAAGCATAAAAAATTTTATCAGCTCATGATTTGCATGAAGGATAACGTAGTTCTCATCATGTTCCATAAAGTGTTCTATATTTATTTGCAATTCTGTTTCTATATCATAGAGCAAAGTTATGAGACATCTCAAACGACAACCCAGCCAGCAAGTGGGGTTAAAGATACTCAGTTTAGTTGCTCCTCCTCCAACCAACCTGAAACTCTTTCCCAAGGTAGGACAACATGTTTTGCACTTTTGGGGGCCTTATCTTTCGTCTAAATAGCAAATCAGGATAGTGTCGACGCAGTGATTTCTGGGTTAGGATCACGGAATTGATGGTACGATGAAAGATTAGTGCTATAGAAATCCTGTTACGTATTCTCAAGGCGTCGCCATTCATGATAAGTAGAATAATTTCTATGATATTACTAGATACCTGTTTACCACAGCTGTTTGCGTCGAGTTTTGTGAAAAAGTGGTAAGAGTCTCAGCCACTTCATTCCGAATCATAATTATCTTATAATTGCCTTTCACGACTACTCAACGAGTATTTACGTCCTTGCGTGAGTTCGTGTAGGGAGTTAATGTAGTCTTTCTAAACTTTCTCTGATCAGGATACTTTCTGTGAAGTAATCCATTCCTATTTC